ATATCAACTATGCCAGCGACGTATTTAGGAATTGTTAAAGGGAGGAAATAGGCTATTAAATTAAATTCGCCTCAATACCTCCTTTGAGTTTTTAAAAAAATTACTCACTAAATGCAGTATAATAATAATAATATTTTATTCACGGAATAAAAATAGTTTACTCTTTATACACTATAAAAATTTATTTTATCATAATTATTTATTGTTTACAGTTATAATACAAAATTAAGTTTTCATTGTTCAGTTGCTAATTCATCAATTACTTCATCGGTATTGATGTTTGTTGTCCGATAAACTGATAAAGTCCGTTAAGACGTTCCGAAGGAAAAAAACACCAGGAGGGATTGATCCCTCAAATACTCCCCTCCGTAAATAAGCCGCTGAGCTATGTACTGTTATTATTCTATGAGCCAGTCGTGTATTATAACGTACTATGATAATGATAAACGCCTTTTTTTAACTATTAAAAAAGACCGTGACATAACAGACATATAATACGAATACGTTTTAATGTTATCAGGTAAGTAGACATTATTTTTCGATTCGATACTTATTGCGTAATTAATGCTTGAAATATGTTAGCAAAATAATGTAGTTCAATATAGTTATAGATATATAGATAGATAGATATAGATTTCGAAATACGAAAAATTGTTTACGACGAATCATATGTAATAAAAAGCTCAAAAATATTATACTATACAGTTACAATTCTATAATTTGTTACACATTAACATTACTTAACGTTCCTTCAACAAATGGATACGGTCTATGCACGTGGTTTTTTGCAAATTTTGGTGACAACAGATAGAACACGAACTAAACATTAAGATAATGTAAGTGGTGCAATTCGGTGATAATCGTTATACCGTATACAACACGCAAATACTATATAGCGGCTGTCCATGATTTGACAAACAATAAGATAATTTAATGATTCCGAAGCAGTTTAACAATATAAAGGTACATAAATTTGTTATATTGCATTCATCATGAAAATGACACAAATATAAGGAACCAAGTTATTCATTAGTAAAGTTCGAAATAGTTTATGTATTAAAAATAAGAAAGGCACTTCACTATCGTATTTAAACAGTTTTTCATGTTGTGTGATCAGATTCGTTATTCAAAAACTCGGACAGAATAGTGTAATTTTACTGTATTCGATTAGAATGCAATGATTGCATTTGATAAAAAGCGATTCTGAGCAAACGAGGGAATCTTTTTTATTTAATTTTATTCGTTTCTATGGTGATAAACAAAGCGTTTTTAGAACAGCTTATGAATGATTTAATAAATAGAAAATTTATATAATTATAATTTATAATTAGGAAATATAAAAATGAAAAAAAAAAAGAAAAGAAAAGAAAAAGCTCCAATGTTTTGAAAATTTGACTATGTCTAGGTAAGAATAATTTAAGTAAACACTCCAAACTTCAAGATTTTACGAATGTTTTTAACCGAATTACAACAAAAAATTCTCAAAATTAACATTTCTATAAATAGCTCAATAATGGTTAAAATTTTCTAAGCTTTAAACCGTAAAAAACAAAATCTAAAATACAAACAAAAAAGACCTCTTGTCATTTTTCATTTGAAGCAATATTTTTGGTAGAAAACGTCGTCCGTAATTATTTAATATTATAAAATCGTGAAATCGTACGTTGTTTCTCTTTTAACCGCTTTTATTTCGAGTACTGTTTCGAAAATCAAAAAATGACCTCTATAAAGTATCAACTCAAGAACATTACCTATCAGCAAAGATGCTACACTTGATAATTTTGAGCAAGGTTAGAGGGAGAAAAAGTGTTTACAGAATAAAAAAGAAAAAGAAATAAACATTATTGTAAAACCAGTACATTCCTCGCTCCGTTCAGAATCTAAAACTACATAAATATTATAGAGAGTGTAAACTACCATTGAAATTACAAACATCATAACTATGTTCATTCCAGAAATTGTATCTTCGGTTTGTTATTTTCTTTTGAATGATTTAAGAAGTAAGCTCTCAACGGTTAAATTATTTAAATCAAATATTAAAACGCGAACATCGACTAAGTATTATAAATTTAACTAAATGTAACTCTCTTACTAAAAATATATTGTGGTGAACTAACAGTGGGAAAAAATTCTACTATGATGGCAATCAAAAAAATCCTACATAAAAATAATTAAATTCTCTTTGAGGTATGAAACATAATATAGTTCACACTAAAATAAGTGGTGTAATTACAGGGATGAGATATGTGGTTGTCGTACATTTGCAATATCTATTTTTATTTTTTTTTTTTTAATAAAAAAAAGTTTTTACAATAACTTAAATTCTTAAAAATTGCTAACACAAGCTATAAATATAAATAATATTTCGGCACCAACCCCGCTTCAATAATGTATTTTTTTTTTTTTTTTTAATGTATGTATGAACGAAAATTATTTACAGATAAATAAATACTTAATTATTCTCACATATTATATATTTATTCAATCAATTATAAGTTATCTAAATATATATAGAATAAACAAACACATATATTAAATACTTAATTGGATGAGCAAATTTTCTAAGCATATTTACCTCCAAACTAATGTTTTAAGTATGCCACTGACTAAAACCAATTACACTTACAACATTCATATTATAATAATACCACATGTGACATCGTTCATCTGTGTCATATAGTCCGGACGTATTACAAATGTTCACATACATTTTCATATTGAACTTTCAAGCAGTGAAGTATTAAGATTTCGAATTAACTTAATTATTTCTATCTTTGTGGATACTATTGTAAGATGAATAATGATTGAAAAAGGTCTACTTGTTCTAGAATTTCGCCAGTTTTAAATAAACGACACATTAATTAAATTAATAACCACACAATTAGTCGTAGTTAATTCAATAACATTAAATTTAAAACTTAATAATGAGTATATAACAGGATTATTATAATAATTGAATAGAGGAAAAATGAAATGCTTTTACACAAAAAACAGTGCGATTAACCCTCCCTATAGATATTATGAATAGGTTACATAACATAATATACCCCGTTGCATACATTTACGACGTGGCCTGTAAATGAGTGGGATCTCATTCGGCCGAAACTATAAAGGTTCGTAGGCAAAAACAATCATCAATCGTCTTAAGATGATAGTTTACAACGTTCGTCAGGTATACATGAGTGCTTTTAAATAAAAACACACTCGCCGTAAACTTATTAACTAATTAATATAATTGTATTATAATATATTGTATTTGACGAGAACAGCTCAAAAAAGTAGTGAAATTATTCAAATATTCGCCAAAAACTGAATGCATAATAGGATGTGTATATTTAACGTCTGTTCTAATTTAAAAGTTAAACCTCACCGTAAGTACATTTCAATTCAAAGCAAAATACGCCAGACACCTAGTACGAAAAAGATCAGATTTCATTAGGTAACTCCAATTAAATAATAAATTTGTAACGAATATCGAGGTACTTAGCATTGAATATATAAATGCGTATATAATATGCGTATAAATATGCAAACTTAATACACATAAATACGTCGTAATTTAACCTGCCACATAACGTTCATTCGAGGTTTTCAGTTTTAGGAATTCAATATTGTGACTCAAGCAAACAGATTTAAAAAACGCGATACATTAAAATAATATGCAGTACTTGAAAAAGATGGATATAGAGAACTTGTACAATACGCATAGTGGCATCGCATCGTACGTATATGCGTACGCATATGTACGAAACAAATATAAGTGGAAGAAATCTATAGAAATATGGAGGTTTAAGAATTAGTGTTTTACGTATTACAAAGAAACGATCTGTTCAAAGCAACTTTGTCGTAAGTTGTATAGTGTTTTATTTATATATATATTTGTAATCTTCTCATAGACTAAATGGTTATTTCAAGAATAAACTGTTGAAAGTACCATCTGTGTCGAATTTTCAACCTGGAGCGACCCTGGGACATTTGAAACACTATTACTTATACCTCGAAAAAAAAATGTCATAACCTATAAAACCCAATACATATAGTTACATTTCCATACTATCTATTATTTATACATATATACGTCAAGTATCTAAAAACGTATGTTGTCATTGCTATATAAACCACTTTAGTTGTTGAGTTATAGCCCCCGATTCTAAGCGAGGGGTCTTAACCTTTGTACACCCTACCTTAGCAGCGGCATATACATGGTTTTTCGAACATTTTATTTCGGTAAAAATTGTTATTTCACCATCGTCATATGCTACTCACACACACACACATATGTATATAAATATAAATAAATAAATACGCTCCCGCCATTTCAGTACAGTAGCATGCGCCTTGCTATAAATATATATATACTCGTATATTTCAATTTAATTCGAAAATATGATGTTTTTCCGTCACTGAATCTCATACTCGGGTGAATCAAGAATGAATTAACGCGTTAGTTAGATTTTTTGAGAATTATACAACGTGTTATTTGCATTTTCAATATTTTATAAAAGAAAAAACTTTTTTCTTCTCTTTGTTAGTAAACAATACACAAAAAAAATAAAAATAATAATAATAATAAAAGACACGTTTAAAAGTCGTGATTATACCGAACAGAGTCAAATTAAACTATATGTCACAGGGAAGAAGTGTGATTCGGTGCGGAAATACCACTAAATTGAAATCAATAAAGACGTTTTTATGCGGTTCGAGTGTCCGCGCGGCGAGTTTCCCGGGGTTCAGCGATAAATAAAATGCGCTACTAGTGCAACAAACGCTTACGGTCTTCTACGTTACTACTACATAATATTAATAGTAAAAAAAAAAAACGGGAAAAATCCAAACAATTATAACACTGGAAACAGAAATATATCCGAAACGCGTGCTGCGGATATAACGGTAAACGGGAAGGATGTTGTATATAAGCAAATAAAGAAATAAATTAAAAATTAAAAAAAAAAACATAAAAACCGTAAGAAAACGAAATACGATTTGATCGATTTGTGTACCTTTGTCCGGCACGGGCCGGTGGCTGTACCCGTTGTGGTTGTCGGCGGCCGTCAGCTCGTCCAGTTCCGGTTGGTTCCAGACGAGCGCTTGCTTGGCGTCGGACGCGCGGTTGTTAGAGCAGCGCGCAGCCGCGGACGATGAGGGCCCGGCCGGACATGGTCCGCCGCCGCCGAGGCCGTAGGCGAACGACGACTCTTGCAGCGCATCATCGTCGTCGTTGTCCCGGCGCACGGCGGCCACGTGCACGCCGGACATGAGGCCCACGCCGGCCTCCTCCTCCTCGGACTCTATCCCGCGGCCACCGGCTCCATCCCATCTGCTGCGGCCGGACATCAGCGCGAACCACCGCCGGATGGTGGCCAGCTGCAGCTGCTGCTCGTTCCGCCAGATCCGTCACAGCGCATCGACGTCAGTCCACCATCAAGCGTCGTCTGCATTCGGCCACCCCGCCCCAAACACTCATGTCAGTACAACAACAACAACAGTCATATCGTTTTGCGCACCGGACGGAGCTACGTCCGGGCGCGTACGATCGGTCGATTAACACTGCGACACCGTTACAAGTGTTGAGATCAGTCCGAGGACGATGCGTTACGTGTACCGCTTACTACCGGCCAGTGGTTGACAACCTTTACGAGCCACGTTCACTAGTCGAAAAGGGTCAGCGGAATGATACGAAAAATTGATACGCTTTTTGATGATATTTGCTGGTTTTCGGATTCGGCCGGTTGCCGACCATTACTGGGCTAGATTGATTCGTTTCGAAATCGACTGACGTTCAGCGATGGAAGGTTTAAAGAAACTATAACACTACTCGAACAGCGAACACTGCGAAAACCGGTTAATTATTCCGGTTGAGTGTGATTTGTTCGTTTATTTCGTCCGAAAAAAACTTCGTTACATGAATTTACGTACCCGTAGACGCGTTGTAATCAATCTCAACACTGAACATAATTATTGCGTAAACAAGTGCAGTTCGTATTAACCGGAGGGCTGCGAATACTGTTCATATGTAGTCCGTGAACAAGTTTATTTATTTATTTGATTATTTTTTTTTTTTTTTTTTTTTGGTGAATTTTCGAGGACACCGAAAAGGTTTCATCGTTACTGTATTCACAACCCTGTATATGACATACGTACACAAATAAGTCACGCGCACGCACCTAGACGCACTTTCGATTTAGTCGTCGTTTTCTAAAAGTAATGGAACAAGCCAATATTTTTCTGATATAAAAAAATAAGAAAATCCAACTCAATCCCGGTTGTTGTCTGAGTGTTTGTTAAAAAATCCAAAGTTTTCGATCCCTTTCAAAAATGAACGAATGAAAAAAAAATTATTTTACGGTTTCATTTACCACGTATATAAACCACGTATTATAGTGTGATTAATGGTCAAGCATAAAATAAGTAAAACTGTATTTATCGATTAATACAGTAAAGGGACTGTATTACTTGAAAATCTGACAAAAATTGAAGTACAGTAATTCATTGTCTCTAATAGGTGCGCGCGCGCTCACAATTAATATATTATGTTACGGACAAAGTAGACAACCCAATCACTTACGTTAGACACTATAGGGCAAAGAATCGAATGACCATGTATCATCCGGTGGAAGAAATGGCCGTTTTACCAATTCAACTACCTTTTATACGAACACACGAAAGGTGTATTTTCATTCAGTTTAAACCAACGAAACGATTGGTCACCGAATTTCAAGAATTGAAAAATAACAAGTTAAATAAATATATAATATTAAACGTGTCAGAGTAATAGTACAAGTGTAATCGAAGAGGGAAGTATGAACGTTTTAATGGTTTATTTTTTTTTTGATATTCTTAGTTTCCTTTGTATCTTAACATTACAGCGAAACCTTATGGATATTTCAGTTATTAATGTTAATCTATCTTGTTTTTGTTCAGCTTATAATAACTCTCATGAGTCACGACCACAAATCGAAGTGTTAAAACTAGCGAGTTCGCTCTCTTTAAAATGTAAGTTACACAATTGTGCTACGTTTGAATAAAATCATTAGCTGAAATAAGGGAATACATTGGTAAGGCCTACATTTAAATATTTTATGCAATTAACTCGGTCAAAATATAATAAGGCACACGATTGGACGAAAGTTTAAGTTTAACATTGTATATTTTTTATGAAATCACCTAAACATTGGAGTTCACACTATTCAGAACTGAAAAATCGAAACACTTCAATAGATCACCGTACTTGTAAAGTATACCACACAATTCGATGTTATGCAGTAAAAACGAGTACATAATCGATGGGTACATTGTGAGGACTAAACTTACTTCACACTTATGAATATAAAAATTGAAAGCAGTTCGTAAAGCTAATAAACCGTTAAATGCGTTTGATAAATTTAATTAATTTGCACATTCATATAATTCTAAACAATTGTTAAGTTCTTATTAACAAAAAAAAAAAAATTATATATATATAGTATTGTATTAAAAATAATTATAGTGCACAACATTTTTACAAATTGCATTTTTCACTATTTTTTTTTTTTTTCATAATTTTAGTTTTGATTGTTTTTTATGTTTAAAGTTATTTTAACGGTATCATATTATATTCTTAAACATGCATCCTATGCAAAATACTTTTTTATCAACAATTTTGATGTTTAAAAATCCAACGTAGAACCAGTGCAGTAAATTATTTATCAATTAAAGTGCTTCTAAAGTTTAGACAAGTACAGTTCAACAAAACGTTGCGTGGTAACCCTTGCTCATACATTCTGCTTGTCTATGCTTCAGCTAAACTTGTACATAAAATAATGAGCTACCAGTTCGATTCTTGATTTAGTATTTAGTGTGCAAAATTACTGTACATATATATATATATATATATATGTATGACATTATATAGAAATATTATACGTGGATAACCCATAAAACATACATCCAACGCTATTCGATTGATCCAAGTGTCGTATCTGCACGTTGTGTCCGGCCAAAAACCCTAACCAACGACCATGGTCAGAGGTTAAGTTAGGGTTTCATACCATCCGGGTCTCTGTCTACTTTGCTCGAAACATATCGTCATAATAATTTAACGCAATATATAACATCTAAGTAAATCCAAGTTAATGTTATGACGGTGTTGTTACGACATGGAGGAGGAGGACGAGGACGTGACGTTCGCACTGATGGACGGAACGGAAGAATGTGACGCCAATATCTATTAGATATATATAAAATATATATCATAAATATTTATGTTAATTCAAATTAATTTCTTAATTATACATCTGTACTCGAGCCTACCAGGCGTTAGTTCAATAGATAAAAACAAATAATAAAAATATCGATTATTATCAAAACTATTGTTCACACGGGGATGCGCGGAAGTCGAAAATATTGATTTCGGGTGATTTTCTCGATCCTCGTCCACTGCGTTTGATGATTATCGCACGCACATTTGGTTACCGACCGTTAGAGTGCTGGTAAAACGTCTGCGCCAGCACATTCGTGGAATATACCCGCAAGCCTCTGGCGAAAAAGTGCAGTAAATCGAACACAATATTGCCTAACAAGCGTAATTATACTACACAAACGATAAACTGCACTACATATGCATAATTATCAACCAACTTGGTGATTACAAATTATTTTTCGAAAAGAGTTCAAACAATGTTGACTACCATTCCTCATTTTATCTTGGCAAAACTGTAACGTACGTAGATTACGGTTTCAAACGTACAGTTTCACCCGATTTATAAACATACGATTACAGAACATATTGGTGCATGAAACAGACTTTTGAAACACCTACAGAATTAGTTGTAACGATTTTCGTCGTTCGCAGGTGTTGTATAAATAATACACTATGTTTACGGAAACGGACATTACATAATTATCGAAAGGTATGCGCGAAAGGAAATGATATTAAAAAACACAAGGACACCCTTAGACCACTAACGAAATAAGAACAACCAAATTTCGACTACACTATATACACGCGTGTACGATGTATTATATTACTCGTATTTGCCGGGTACGTCGACAGATTTTTTATAAGGAACCACGATGTTTTGTTCGGTTTTACGCGACAAGTGGGAGGGTAGGAATTCATTGAAATTTCGTGAAAAGCACTACGTCGTTTTTATTATATTATATAAACCCATTTTGAGGAAAAAAAGAGAAACCGTTTCAACACAACGCGAGACGAAACGAGGGAAAAACGGTTCGGTAAAATTTGGAACGCAACACAAAAATATCATGCTGATTAGAACGCGTCAAATCGAAAAAACTCGAGTAAACAAATTGATGTCATTTTCTATTTTTATTTCTTTATACTAACTTGCGTGATTTTCAATGATATTCCGCTCAGCGAAAAATATATTTAGTCCAACACAGTACCTACGTAAGTTATTATTATGTTGTATAAAGTGCATCATTGCCATGATAAATGCACATACGCTTGCCCCACATTGTACATTGCTTTATAGCACTACGCGAAGTTATACTAAATATTTTGCAATTCGGCCAACCCGCCGGGCCAGCACGATAGTTAATTTTGTAATTGGTATTAAATGGTGTTGTTTTTGTTCAACGATGATTGAATATACGGATTTTAGATCATATTCGAAAAGAACATTAAAAATCATATTTAAAGGATGATTACTGTTGGTATGTAAAATATAGGTAAACTTTGGATGAATTAGTTTTTTAATCAAATTTTATACTGATATTTCTCAGCCCTATTGATAATACTTAATAAATATAAAAAACTGTTTTTTGACTGTTTTACACTACGAAGCTACTAATAGCCCTAACTAGCGCTTGTCCAAGAAAAAATCGGAAAAAGTAAATTGATCGAATAGATTACCTTCCACACCCTTCACAAATTAATAATAAGATCAACGTGTGCAACGAATTTAAATTTTAAGTGACATTTTTACCTTTGACAAGTATAATTTTGTTGAAGCTATGAATATTGAAGAAAAAATGTCAACCTGGAACTTGCCATTAATCCAATCACCGTTCATAGAATTTCGAAATTCAATGTGGGATTTTTTACTCTTAATTAAATGTACCTAATAATATTGATAGGATCAAATATTATAATTATCATTTATATTTTATCAAAATTATGCCTAATGATAGCATTCAAAATTTACTATATTCAAATATTTATAATATTATGACGACTTTATTATTATAATTTAATATCGTTAGAATATACATAATCATAGACCTTACACATCGATTAAAGTATTATATTTCTTTAAAACCACCATGAATCGGACGGAAAAAAAATTCTGAATACAATAATAATATTTTTTTATTTTTTTTTATTGAATCATATCCGCTCGGGACGTGAATGCGCGGAAAATTAATGAATTGCAAGGTCATCAAAACCGAGTACTCAACGCTATAAAAAATAGTGGAAACGCGAATGTAACTG